CCGAACTGCCTTCTTGAGCTTCTTGGTCTTTTTGATGATCTCTTAGATCTAAGAGTGAGTGATGTTAGAGCTGATTCGCCCCCCTCTTTATATAGTCATAGGAGAGGGCTGCTTTCCAACTCCTTCTAGGAGATCATCTTATCTTTAGAGAGTCTTGATCTTCTTTGAACTAATCCTATCATATCTCTTATCTAATCCCCAACCTTCTTATCCTTATAGGATTACCTTCAAAGTTTAGATCTAATAAGACTCTCTCCCTCTTGGGGGATTACATTCGAATTAGGACTCTTGACTCTTCCATCCGAGTTGGGATTCTCTGCTACTTGGGCTGCTTCCAGGTTCTTCTGCGAGTTGGGCTTCAGCTGTTAAATGGGCCTGACTACGAACTTGCTCCGACTTCGGGCCCAGTTTCTTACTCGATGCGGACTGAATCAGTCAAAGCCCAAAACATAAAAGTTGTGGGCCTTTCTTTCTTCTTTCTAATDCTTCTTGAATTACCCAATTCGGAGTCCGGAATTGTGAATTAGGCCCAGATCACTGACTGTCGCCGAAACTGTGCAAAATCACCCGAATTGGCCTGTTTCCTTCCAATTGCCTCTTTATTGCCCTGAATCGAAATACAAGAGTAATGAGTCCATTTAAGTGCTAAATAAATGTAAAAGAGTGAATATTAGGGGATAAAAATAAGATTCTTTTTGGTCTCATCACTGCACTCTATATTTCATCCAATCCCGTCTTTCATGAGAGAACAAAGCACATAGAGGTTGATTGCCACTTTGTGAGAGAGAAGGTTCTTGCCGGAGAGATAAATACAGAACATGTGGGCTCCAATGACCAGTGGACAGATTTGTTTACAAAAGCTCTAAGCTCAGGGAAAGTGAACTATCTATGTAACAAGCTGGGATTATACGACATATATTCTCCAGTTTGAGGGAGAGTGTTAAGATGTGCCGAATAGGGGTAGTTTAGTGTTCTTCTGTTTATTAAGTAACTTGCTTATGTGGCAGTGTTATTAGAGTTACTCTGCCCACACTTAAGTAAGGGCATTTCTGTCTTTGTAAACATTATTAGAATCTAATATAGATTAAGGGGGTCGACTGGATGGGTTAACCATCAGATTTTCGACAGACCCTTCTTCTTCTTCTTCTTCTTCTTCTTCTTCTTCTCCTCTTCCTGTTCGGACTACTGTAGCAGCAGTCGAAACACTGTTAAAAATTCAGTATTTATTGAGACATTTTAACTGTAGAAAAGAGATAAATCCTTAAAATAAGGAATGCCAAATGCAGCCTTAGTCTTATTCGATGGAAATGTTTTTGCATTATAAATCACATCATTTCTTTTGGTTATAGGTTAAAAATTTGATCAACTGCCTCCCCGAAGATGAAACTCCGATTAGGAATTTAACCATCAGGAAAAACCCTCGGTAAGTTGTTTCTTTCTTTCACCATCTGAAGTGTAAGTTGTTTCTTTCTTTCACCATCTGAAGTACCGCGTTCCTTGTGGATTAGTGTATGGTGTTCTTATAATTAGGAGAAACTTATTTACACTTTACATATAAGGAGGCCGTTAGTGAATGCTGTTCCACTCTATCCAGGGTATTGAGAGGTGGAGGCTCAAACCCATTAACTGGGCGGTTTTGAAGAAGCTACCTAAGATACTTCACTGGAAATTTGATTTTTCAGCTCATGTAAGCTTATTTTGGGTTTTCTGATATTTTACCAAATATGGCTTAATAGACTTTTGGATTTTTCCACTCATGTATAGAGGTGTAAATTGAGCCAGGCCAGGCCAGCACGACATAGCTCATCGGTGGCCTGTGCTTTTGGCAGGCCAGGCCATTTTTGCTACCACTGGGATGCTTTAGAGGTCCAGCCTGGCATGACCCATGCCATGGGCCCAGGCAGCGCAGGCTGTGCCACATTGTGCCATAGGCTAGGCTGATCTGTGGGCTGAGCCTTGAGAAGTACATTTTTAAAAAGAAATTGAAAAAATATGAAAAATTTAAAATAAATTAACAATATAGACAAAAAATTAAAAAAAAAATCTTAAATTCATAATATATATATAGCTCGACATTTCAGTATAGCTCGACATTTCAGCAGTTGAGGGAGACCTCGATTTGGCATCTCGACAATTGAGGGAGACCTTGGCTGCTTGAGAGACCTGATCAAGGGTAGTCAAGCTCGAACTTCCGAGCTTTTGACTCGAGCCGTGCTCGAGTTTGATCTCAAGTCTCTAATTCGAATCGTGCTCGAGCCTGATAATTTATGAGCGAGCCCTGCAATGCAAAGCCCCCTCCACTAGTATATATTATGAAGCGATTAAGTCCCAAGTCAGCACCTCTCTCATTCTCCCATTCCCCCTTCTCTCTTCTATCCTTAAACCTCTCTCCTTTCTCCCTTACCCCTTCCCAATCCTTCCATGTAGCCATGTGGCAACTCTCTCTTCTTTACTAGAGTCTAACTTCGACTCTCTTTCTCTCTCTCTCATGTTCTTAAACACTTAAACAAATCCCTCCTAAAATTTCTCTTAAGCTATCTCTCCCACCTAAACTTCTTCCTAAAATAACTCTTAATCTATCCTACATACCCAATCTAGCTATGTGGCAGCACTATCCCCTATTTTCTCCTAAATTATCTCTTATTATCTCTAATTCCTATATATCTCCTAAATTATCTCTAATTCCTAATTTTTCTCTCCCCCACTATTCATTTATGTCTATCTAAAGAAAGTTTGAATTAAAATATTTAATAATTATTTAAATATTATAACAAAATTATGCAATAACTTTAAAATATTTATTAAAAACAAAAAAATAATTATAATAGATTTAATAATGTTTAGATTATTAACAATACAAATTATAATTTTACATATAAAAAATTATGTAATAACCATATAAATTATAATTTTATGGATTAAAAATTTCAGTAACAAAATCATTTAAATAATAAAAACCTAAAATATTTAAAATATTATTTAAATATTTAAATAACAAAATATTAAGAATAGAAAAATAATTATATAAAAAATATTTAATATTATTTAATAGCTGAATTGTATTTTAAAAATTCAATAACAAAATTATTTAAATTGCTTTTTAAATAACAAAAGTCAAGAAAATTAAAATATTTTTTTTAAATATTTCAATAACTAAATATTTTAAATAAAAGTATTAAAAATAGCTAAATAATCATATAACAAAATATTTAATATTATGTAATAACTTTCAAATAATTAAAAATGTTAAAAATTTTATTGTATTTATTTTGTAATTATTGTAATTATTTTATTTTTATTATTTATTTATTATCTTTTTGTTATAAATTTATTGTGTATTTTTGCTATAAATTATCAATAACTATCAGAGATTAAAGTATTATTACTTATTAGAGATTTAACTATTAATTTAGTTGAAATTATGAATGTTCACGGGTCACTTCGGTTGTATATTGTTTGGCCAACCAAATGGACTTGGTTGGGTTGGGGAGTTGGTCACCCAAAACCGGCTGACCATTAGTGCAAACTGACCAATTCAGGTTGTATCAATTTAGGTTGGTTTTCGGTTTGGTTAGTTGCTTCAAAAAATTTAAACTTAAAAATTTAAATTTAAAAATTACAGTAATACTATTGAAAAAGTAAATTAAAAATTTAAATTTATAATATAAAATATTTTAGACTCAAAATATGGAAATTTCCCACTTTCCCATATTAGAAAATTTATACTTAAAATGTAAAATATTAACATATATCTATGGTTAGGTCGATTCGATTTTGGTCAATTTACAAATAACCAAACCAAAACTCACCCAACCTAATCGAATTGAAAAATTACTGAACCAAAGCCGATTAGAAATATTAGAAAGCCGACGAACTCGGATCGACTTGGGTTGGGTTAGATGGTTTCATCGGTTTAATGAATAACCGTAGTTAAAATTAATTATTATTATTTTTGCATTGCAAAATTAAATTAAAATTACTATATAAAATATAAATAATTATTAATTCTTTAAAAAATTAAAATATAAAACTTGTCTAGTCTTATGTGTTTCTATTGTTTAATTTTCACTTAACAAAACTTGTGGGCCAGGTGGCACGGATCGTATCATGCTGGTCCATGGGCCTGGATACCCAAGCCCGGCATGACCCACATACCGTTATGCTGAGCCGGACCAAAATCATGCCGGGCGTCGAGTGGCATGTCCCGATTTACAAATCTACTAATAACTCATGTAATGCCAGAAGACGCTGTGTTAAAGCCCTCGCAAATGGGCACTAATTTGTTTAAACCATCCAGCTGTCTGACCCTGTTAATTTGAGGATTTAGATGTGTGGAAATGACAATAAATGTGTGATATGTGTGTATTGGATAATAATATCCACTGATTTTGGGATGAATTATAAAAGGTTTCATATGCCTTTAGGTTGTGTTTGGTTTAATGGAGTTCAATGATTTGTACATTGAACTCCATTAAATTATACAAGGTCCCAAGCTACTAAGCTTCCATGTTCCAATCCTCTCACCTACACGAGCATGCACAGACATCCATCAGAGGAGATGGGTGAAGCCCTGTAGGTTGGGTTGGGTTCGAGAGGGTGTAGGTGGGTTGACCCAAGTTCTAATTTTTTTTTCCAATTAATATAAAGGTATGCAGTTATTCACATATAAAGTTTGAATCTAAAGGTTATACCGAAAAAAAAGAAATCTAAAGGTGTGGCAATTATTTTAGGCGTAGGATGTTTAAACCATGGTTTTGAAAATTGAATTGGATTAAACGGTCGGATCATTTGACCCAAAAACCGGTGGTTAAAGAAATTCCATTTCTGATCCGTTTTCAAACCAAGGTTTAAACAACTTGAGTGGTGGACCCACTCCTCCTGTTGTTTTTGTTGTCTTAATGTATTTTATTTTTTCAATTTCTTAACGGGGTCTATGATTACTTGCCACTATATGCTATTCTGAATGAATTCCAAAAAGGTCATAGCCACATGGCTGTTGTTCTGAAGGATCACAGGAAAGATACCAAGGCGATCGTGGGAAATTCAAGAGGTAATCCAAGGCTTTAATGTGAAAAAAGATGATCTCAGATATCAACTATTTCTATACACAATGAGCACCTATGCTTAAGAATGGCAATGGGTAGGGTATTTGTGATAATTGCCCTTTCCATTCTCGAACCCGTTTAGGTGTGCCCTTGATCCCAAACCCATTTATTTTTTCTTTTTAATTTTCTAAATCGGTCATGTCCCATACCCGGTTAATCCATCCCACTCGATATTATTTTATATATCATATTATTCCTATCATTTTCAAATTTGAAATCTAAATTTAATTACCTAAATTAATACCATTAAATAATCATAATTGATTTTGTTAATATTTCATAATTGACTCCATAATTAACCTTATTTAACACACCACTTATAACATTAATTGTCTTCATGTCATAATTAATTCAATTAATTTCATTATAGCATATTCAAAACATGCATTGTATAAATTGGATCTGAACTTGCGTTGCTTACTTGAAACATAAGTATTTTAACCACTAAGCCATTTTATGATATCTTGTTAAACTAGCATTGATAAGCCACCATATTATATCACGCATATTAAAGTATAGAAAATATTCATTTGCAAATACCTAATTCTTGAGCCATAAATCCCATAATCAAACTAGTTCTCAATGCTTTTGTCTCTATAATCTCAATTATCTATTTAAGAGACTTCTTTTGATGTCTAATTTCTTAGGAGAATGTACTTTTTCTACTACACATAACACCATTATTTATTAAACTTTATTTATTTCAAATTTTGTAAATTACACTTTTATGGTAAAATTACACTTCACATAGTATAAATTATTAAAATACAATTTTCTTATGTATAGAATTATTGGAGTTGTAGATTATACAAAATTCATATATTTTTAATATATTTGAATTTTCATGGTGTATCCATGTGTATCTTAAAATTTTCATTGTATCTATACATATCCAAAATCTAAATATATTTCTTTTAATTACATCTTCAATATTCTTTGTATTTTTCAATACTTTAAACCTTGCACCTGATTTTATATCACATAAGTAAAATGCGATACCCCTCTTAAATACTTATTCAAAATTTAAGTATTTATTAGAATAAACACTTGTTTTTAAGTATTTATTCAATAAGCTAACTCTCAAACTTGGCCTAAATAGAATACAAATGGAGAACTTTTAAGCTGGAAGACCCATTAAAAGGAAGATGATCATGCAAAAGCGTTAGGGCTCACACGGTTTAGATGCGAATTAGAAAGGTCTCTTTTCTATGGACATTTAGATGAGCCACATCATTTATATATGAGTGCACTTGAGATATAGAGCCCGTATGCCATTTTAGGTGGTGTTCTCCCAGATGAATAATTCTAGTTTCAGTGATTTCTCAGATCTGATTTTTTTTTTTTCATCATAAAAGTAAAACCCCATTCTCTAACATGTGATTTCTGCAAAACTTTCTGATGTGTTTAAAATCAGGCAATTTATATTTCACAGTGAAGAACGCATTGATGATTTTGCTCTGTTTTCAACCTCTATGTTTGGAAAGCAACATTTTTTTGACTAAATGTTGTTCTTTTAAGACCACTTATCACTTTAGTTCAGACGCCAGACTTGACATATTCATATTTTTTGTCTCCAAAATACCTTCCGTGCATTTCATTTAGTATTTATTATTAGAAACACACTGTTACCATACTTTAATAATAATAATAATAATAATATTTTTAATTAATTTTAGTTTAATAATAATACTAATGTTATTATTATAATATTAATGAAATATTTTATTATTAATAATGTTAATTATCATTAAAATAAATGACCATTCTCATAATCAACTACAAGGAAAAAATGGTAAAATAACCATTTTAAAATTCAACATTTAGATTTCATAACAGCATTATTTGAATTTAGATATCAAATAAAACAAAAAGGCACTAATTTCAAAATACTTTTTTAGAGCCTTTTTGCTTTTCAGACGTCATACTTCATACCAATGGAATGAAATCTAAGTTATTGAAATCAAAGTCACTACTCCAGTACTAATTTCATGGGAATTGTAGTATTGCACCACAAAAATAAGATTAAGTTGGATAACATCCTTAGAGGTGCTTGGCGTGGTTGTCGTTTATGTTTGTTGATATTTTGCCTCAATTAGAAAGACAACACCACACACTTGTGAGACTGTCTACTAAAACCTGTTTGGAAAAGGCAATGTTGATGTGACAATTAAATATTCTTTTTTATTACAATTATGATGGGAAAATTTAGGAAAACAAATATTTTGATAGTTACAAATGCCCCTTGTTTGTCGAAATATCAACTAGGTCTTTCCATGCATGAATATTGTGTTTCTTTTTTTTTTTTTCCTGTCATAATGGGCATTTCCAATCAAAATTTTGTCTGTTTATGTTGAAACTATGATATGGCAAGTTTCAGAGAAAACAATGGTAAAAAAAACGCAATTATGTTTATTTGGAAAAGTGTTCTTTGCAACTAGAAGTAAATTTCTTTTAAATTAGAACATTGGATAATTGGTATCTTTTTTTTTTAAGAATTCCAAATAAAGGGTGGCAAATATCATTGATGGTAAATATTTTATTTCATTTCCATAATCAATAAAAACAATTTTTTAGCAGATATTGTTTTCTCTAATATGATTGACATAAAAATATCAGAGCTACACATAATTGCTTCTTCAAAGCTTTTATTTTTTATATTATTTTTATTTAAAAATTTTATTATTTAATTATGATATCATGGATTGACCCATTTGACCTGGATTTGACTTGCTTACTTGCCACTTGGACATAAGATGGTTTTGTGTTTGGGTTGGTTTTAAAATGACATGGGTTTTATATTGTTAAAAATATTGTATATAGATCTAATTAGTAGAATTTATTAGTAAGAAATAATATCTTTAATATAGGATTTAATGAGAGATAATGATAGTCAATACTTTAAACATAAGATTTAATGAGAGAGAATTATATCCTAAAAAATTAAAGGGAATCAAATGAGGTGAAAATTAGTAGTTCAAATTACATTATCAGCCCTCATAATTAGATAGAGACTAAATTCAAAAGTAGGATTATCTTAGTAAAAAAAAAAATTCCACACCCTCATTCTCACATGTATATAGATTAGTAAGTGTGCATGTGGCATTATTTCTCACACTTATTTTTGTTTAATTTGATGAATATACAATATTAAAGATGTGCCTAAATGTTTTCTACAAATTCTTTTGTATTTTTCATACTTTTGTGTGTTTTCATTTTATTAATACAATTATTATTATTATTTAATTATGACATCAAGGATTGACACATTTGACCCAAAAGGTTGAATTGTTGGCTTGCCACCAAAAGAAGAAAAGAACTCCACTTTTGGGTTGGTTTTAAATTTATATTTTATTTATACCATCAATTAAAACCTTTATCCTTTGTCACACTTATTTTTCTTTAATATGGTTAATTAATATAGGATTCAATAAAAGAATAAGACTTAATACCCTAAATATAAGACTTAATTTGAGGTATTTGAATGCAAAAAAAAATAAATAAATAAAGAGATTTTAATAAGGAGAAATGTAATAGTTCAAATTAAAATTTTTCCTTTTAGAGAGTGGCCAAATTCAAAAATAGTGGTATTCTGGTCAATAGTATGATTGAATGAATATTAATGGCAGTTAATACCTAAAATGTAAGACTTAATGTAAGGGATTTGAATGAGAAAAAAGTGGTTGTTTAAATTATATTTGTGTCCTTACAATTAGAGAGGGATCAAATTCAAAAATTGAAGTATTTTAGTCAAACAAAAATTCCAAACTCTCATTCACACTTTTATAATGTAACTCCAATATTCCAAACATTATTTGCATGGCGGCAGAAATGAGATCATCTACACATACGAGTTTCCCTAATTGTTTCAATTGGCGAAGCTACCTAGAACTTCAAGACATGGAGGGATCTAATGGTCAATTGAGTTCTGATCGACATTCTTAGCCTAGGAATCATTGTTTCACAGAGCTTAAGTCATTTTATAAGAATTAAGTCTAATTAGAAAAATAAATTTTGGCCTTTATAAAAGTGGAATCTTTATAAGTGGAGTTGTAATTGTGTAGGGGCAGATTCTGAAGTCGACCAGTATAAGCAGCAAAATATCATCGTTAGTTCATCTTCTGTGCATCCTCATGTATCAAGAACACCGAGTCCAAATTTAGGAAATGACATGAGGATGTTTTCGAGGAATTGTTACAGGTAGCAAATTTTCTATTAACTAATGACATACATCATCCCAGTCTTGTTGACTCAACAACTGTCATTATAGATAATGCAAATAAAAAAATGTCGTAATAGAAAATACAAGATTTATATAGATTGAAGACGATCAAACAGATCTGCCATCTTGAAAATTTTCCAAGGGATAACTAGACTGCAGTCCACCTTAGAAATCTGAAATTACAGCCCCTCCTAATCTATTAATAGTCCCCCCTATAAATGGTATCCTGACTGTGAATTTGGCATCAATCCACAGTCAGGATTCATCCCACCTGTATGGTGGGGTCAGATTTCTGGAGTGGATTGAATAATAAAGCGATTTTGATGGTAGTGCAAATGATTTTGATGCAAATTATGATTTATTTTTATTTTAAAATTTACCTTATTTTGTTTGTGTGCAATACAAATGAAATAAAATAAGACCTAAAGCAAAATCAAGTAAAACTCAAAACAAAATTTTTCCAAAATTTGGAGTCTTTTTATTTGCATTCCCATGCATTTCTATTAGTGCAAATAAAATTGCATTGCAACCAAACACAGTCAAAGTAAAAAATAAGCCAACATCTCAAAACTTGTATATCTAAGTAGTTTTCACATACAATGCTAATTCATAGGGGTGAGTAAATGGGTTGGTTCTACCTAGAACCGAATGAAACTGACTTCGAATCAGCCTCAAATTAACCCCCACTTAGGCTGGTTCTAGGGTTTGGGGGTTTATCCTACTTGA